AGAAAGGGGGCATTATGATTAGCATGTATAATGTTGGGGGGGCATGGGGAGGGCTGTGCAACACAGTGAAGACAAGTAGTGACTCTACAGCATCTTACTACACTGATGGACAGTGACTGTAATGGGGTTTGTGGGGGGTAATTGGTGAAGGGGGGAGCCTAGTAAACATAATGTTCCTCATGTAATTGTAGATTAATGATACCAAAATAAAAAAAATTTTTTTAACTAAAAAAAAAGAAACCCTGTACCCATTAGCAGTCACTCACCATTTCCCAACTCCCAAGTGTTCCCAAACCCTGGTAGCCACTAATCTCCTTTCCATCTCTATGGATATTAAATGTTCCAAATCTTTACTATTCTATTTTTTTAACTTTTGCAAAAAGGCATGGAGCAGGCACATAAAATGCTCTTATAAATGTTATCTACATGTGTGTATGTGGACAGATGGATAGATCAATGGATGGATGGATGGATAGATGATAGATAGATAGATAGATAGATGATGGATCGGTAGATAGGGCACACTTAGTAGATAGGTATAATAAAAATTCATTCATTCACTCAACAAATACCCATTTGCACATCTGCACTTGGAAGGATTAAGATATGATTCTTGCTTTCAGGGAATTTGCCATCTAGTGGGAAAGAGTACCCCACTAGATGGAAGATGTCAGAGGTGTAGGTAGCGCTTCTAGGATGGCTGAGCTGTCCCGACACAGGAGGGGCCATCTGGGGGAGGAATCCTGAGAACTAAGGCCCAGAGGGTGTGGTATCTCGCAGGGTCAAGGACAGCCAAGTCTTCACACCTCAGTCAGGACCTAGTTCTGCGCCTCCTGGAGCTGTAAACACTGGGTGGTGGGTGATAGAGCCCAAATGGGAAAGGGAACTAGGGAGTAAGCCAGGCCAGCCCACAGAAGCCTGCACTATCATCTGAGCAAGGACACCCTGAAGGGAAAAGCCAGGCCCCTATACCTCCAGTTAGTTTGACTTCCCCAGTCAACTGCAACTGGAGCCATATTTAAAAGCAGACAGCAGCAGCCTTGTAAGTGAAGGAGCCTGGACTTCAGAGTCACCAAGGTCTGCCTTTTCTTAGCTGGCAATCTTGAACAAGTGCTTCCCCTCCCTGAGTCTATTTCCCCAACTGTAAAATGGGGGTAATATTACCTGCTTCAGTATGGGTAGATATGGTGCAAAAGTGCCTGCGACAAGCAATACAGGCTTCCTTAACTGGCCATTCAGATAGGTCAGGAGAGGTTGCGCAAGGCTGATGAAGCACACGTTCAAGGCCCCAGCAAGGCATGGTGTTGTTGTGTTGTTACTGTTGTTGTTTTTTGTGTGTAGAAATATTTAGTAATTGATTTTTTTAATTGAAGATGTTATCATAGAAGAAATCAGAATGTGTGGGCCTCCTTGAATTTATTATACAATACAGTGTTGTTTTGTTTTGAATTACACAAGGATTGTCTTCTTAGTGCTTAGGCTTCCAAAGGTCCTATCAGGCCCTGAAGAGGACAGCAATGGGATCAGATGCCTTTTGAGGGTCAACTGATGACTAGGGAAAGGGAGGGGATGGGGTGAAGGAAGTAATCCACCCTACTGTGACCCAGCTCAGGGGAAAGCCTCTTGAACTGCAGGAGACAACTCTGAGATTTTTCTCCTGGGAACAGGAGGTCCTGGGTAACATAATGGGGTTAGCTGGGATTCTGATAGCAGAGACTTAGAACCAAGGGTGGCTAAAGCTTAGGACACTAAGAAATCATCGAATTCAACTTCCTCATTTTACAGTTGGAGAGATAGAGCCCCAGTAAGACAGAGATTTTCCCAGGGTCATTTATTTGCCCAGAGCAAGGATCAGTTCGGGCCTCTGCTTAAGCCAGGGCCCCTTAAGCCAGGAGGCTCCAAGGAGAAAGGAGGCCCTGCTTTTTACCCCAAACCCCCACAGTGGCCACCCACTCCTCTTAGGGTCATGCCCTTCTCTAAGTGTTCCCCAAGTCCCTGAGTGTCCAGTGCAGTGGGCACAGAGTGCTGCCTCAGGGCACCCAGGCCAGGAGAAAAGTCAGACAGGCACATAGGGTAAGTAGACGACCCCATTGTTCTCTGTGCCAAGGATCCCAAAAAGTCTGCTTAGGGATGGCTCTCTCTCCAGAAGAAGCAGGCTGAGGTGGGCATCCGTGACCCCAGAGAACTTGGCAGAAATGAGTAGGGAGAATGCACCAGCTGCAGAGAGCTGCAGTGAGCAACGAGAAGAGCAGCCTGGGCTTCCGGGAACAAGAGGTCAGTTCAGCAGTGACAGAGGGTACCTGGCCAAGGGCCTGGGTGGGCCTGTGAGCAGCCTCAGGTAACCATTTCAGCTCCTCAAGCAGGCCTGGGGGGGCCCTCTGGGAACTGTCGTTTGATTGTGGGACATGTGTGACCCTTCCCTTTCCCTCTTATGACCACAGTTAGGCCACAGTGGGAAGTCTGGAATTCTTCTAGACCGGGTTTTGTTGCCATCCCTCTGTAGATACATGGGTATGTTTCTACTCCTGTAGACTCCAGTGTCTTCCTGAAGTGGGGCAAGAACCCCACCTCTGAGAATCGTTAAAGGTGACAGTGTAGACACCTTAGACTAGACACCCTGGTGTGTATCCTCAGACCCAGGGAAGAATCAGGAACAGGAACATGAGCTGGACCTCCGGGTCAGTGAGAGGACCCAGCGCAGAGCACCCGAGCTGACAGCCACACTGGGGGATGTCCTGGGGAGGGTGACCAAGGCTCCACTTTGCTAGCTGTCAGCCATCACCACTGGTACTGGGCCCCAGGCACCCTCTCAGGGTTCACACTCATGTTACCCCCTGGGGCCTCTGTGCAGGGGTGGTGGTGATCATATGGTGACGGTGTGTGTGCGCGTGTGTGTGTACATGTGTGTGTGTGTGTGTGTGTGCGCGCGCTGAGGGCCAGGCCACACAAGACTTCTGAGAGGTGGGTGCTTCCAGCTCTGTGGAAGTTGAGCCGGGAGAGCAGAGAGAACAGGAGGTAGTAGTTAGGTGGGAGGTCACGGGAGGGCGCCCCTAGAAGCAGGAACCCCAAGCACCAAGGGCGCCTTCAGGCTCAGATGTGAATGACTGATGCTCAACTCTTCTTGAGACCAATATGCGTTGAAATAGAGGCGGTTCCACCAGAGCTCCAAGTCACAGCAGGAGGAAAGGTGGGAGGGGAGTTAGGGACCAATTCTTTTTCTAAAGAGACCCTCTGGAGCGCAGCGGCCCAAGCGCTCGCACCTGAACCACTGCTTATGCTAATTAAGCCCGCCCCGTCCACGCCCAGGCTCTGAGTCCCCGCCTCCTCGAGCAGGGCAGGGATATGCTAATGAAGGCTGTCTGGCCATCTGAGCCCCGCCGGCTGCTCCTCCCAGGACAGGAGAGGCGGCTTCGGCGATGGCCACGTCCCGGGCGCTGGCAGGTCTGGCCGCGGGTTTGCAGGGCCCACGGGTCGTGCCCAGCCCGGACTCGGACTCAGACACAGACTCAGAGGACCCGAGTACTCGGCGCAGCGCGGCCGGGCTGCTCCGCTCGCAGGTCATCCACAGCGGACACTTCATGGTGTCGTCGCCACACAGAGACTCGCTGACCCGGCGGCGCGACCAGGAGGGGCCCGCGGGGCTTGCCGACTTCGGGCCGCGCAGCATCGACCCCACACTCACCCACCTCTTCGAGTGCATGAGCCTGGCCTACAGGTGAGGGCGGTTCCGGGGCCCGACGGCCTCAGCCCTCTGTGGCGGGACCGTGCCCTGGGGCCCCGGACACCCCACTCGGCCCCAAACCTTGTTCCCCGGCTGCTCTGAGAGACTCTGGACACGTCCTGGACACCCCCCTTCCCCTACCCCTGAGGGTCTCCTGACCCCGGCCCAACCCTCTGGCCCCCGACAGGCCTGCGCACCTCCTGGTTCCCATTCCTCACCATCATCACTTCCTTCCGAGGTCGCTGGCGGCTTGCCCTCCAACTTGACCGCCGTAGGCCCCCTCCCTGGTTCTGACTCCTCTGCTCCCAAAGAAATGCTAGGGCATCCCTCGCGCTCCCAGGGCCCTAAGATCCTGCCATCCCCACCCTCCATTCTGGGGACCACTCTACCCGACCACCTGCAGCTCCCTGCTCCCTCCCCAGCAGCCCCGGCCCAGACCCACTGTATTCCTGCACCCTTGTGGGACCCCTCCTACCCATGGTTGTCCCAATTCATAGCCGACGTCGACTAAAACCCAGTCTCTCGTCCACCCTGCACTCCCCAGGTGTCAAACACCTGTTCTTGACCTGCTAGGTCAAGAGAGGAGGGTGGTGAGAATAGGGTGCCCCTGACAGACCCTGGGGGCACAGCTCATAGTTTCCAACCCATGGCTCGGCAGGAGGTGCTACAGCCGAGAGGGGTCTGGTGTCCCGGAGGCCAGGCCTCTCCTACCGCGGTCGCCGCCCAAGGCTGAGAGCGCAACTCTGCCTGGAACCCCTGCTTGGCGCATTGCAGAGTGCGACGGCCGAGCCGCCCCAGTTCTGTGCCTGCGTCCCGAGGGAGGGTGCAAACCGTGGTCCTGGCCCAGTGCCCCGGAGCAAAGTTCCCAGGAGCGGAGGGGCCAGGATAAATTATCAACCGTAAACCGTAGGGGAGAAAGGGGTATGGCCGGCCTTGATCTTTTCTCTGTGCAAATACTCCTCTTCCTCCGCGGCACCTCCTCCTCCTGTTCTGAGAACCGCGGGCTACTGACCGACAGTTGCTGCTCAGACTGGGAGCCGCGTCTGGCGTGGGGATTGCGGCGGAGTGTTGCCCACCCCCAACTACGGCCGCCCAGCCTCGACCCCATTGGTTGGAGGCTCTGTAACCTTGGCCCACTTGCTCTGGGCTCCGGGCCCAGGTCCTGTTGCAACCTGATCGTCCAGAGCGCAGGACGCTGTGGAAAGTTCAAATTCCCTTCCCTTTCCTCCCTCCCCTCCTCGGACATCACGGGACCGCCTGGGACAGGGCATCTAAGGTCCCGGTACAATGTGGGCACTCCTCCCCCTCAAACGTCCGCGGCCCCCCATTTCCCACCCGCTCGCAGCTTTAGCTTCCGGCTTTATATTACACACCCTCCAGCGCAGACCATGGGTGACCAAAAGGGGAGGCTCGGGAGGGGGCAAGGTAAGCGACAGAGCCCACTCCCAAGAGCCAGTCCCACTAAGAGGCTGACTGGAAGCTGATGTGACTCCACTCTGGGGTGGAGAGAGCTGTGCTTTCTCCCTAAACACCCAGAATATTCAATCTCTCTGGCCTGCCCCCTGGTGGGGGCCTATGTGGCTCAGTACCAGAGGAGCCTTTGGACTTCCCCATTTGGAAAAGAAAATTACTGAGGCTCAGATTGGGACAGTGTTTTAGCCCTTAAAGACTCTTAATTATAGCGGTTACCTGGAGGGGAGGGGATTACAGAAGTCAGGGTATCCCAAGAGAGAGACTGGGTGAGAAGGGACAGCAAGGGGTTCAGAGATGTTGGGAGCAACTGGCCAGCTGGACCCAAAGGACAGCCTGTGAATGTGGGGCCAGCTCTCACCCTTAGCAGTGCAGTGTGGACAGAGGAAAAGCTGGAGGAGGAGGCCTGTGCTCCATAGTTCTGTGGGTGGAAGCCCAGGGAGGCAGGTCCTGGAAGTTGCAGGAAGATAGTGGTTTGTAGTCAGAACTGGCTAGTTGTGTAAAGAATGGCCTCAGGGATGTGGTGGAGCAATCACGACCCTCTGAGGGAGATACTTAGAGGATTCCTGCAAGGCAGGTGTGTGGGGGGGTGGGGGCTGGGGGTGGGGGTGGGGAAGGGAAGGGCAGGAAGGGAGTTCTGTGTTTTCCCCCTCCCATTCCCAAAATGTCCAGATTTTTTATTGGTCATAAGAAGCTCTTGAATCCTGGCCCAAGGCTTTTAGCTCCAGGCTAGACTCCTCTCCTCTCCTCCCAGCTGACAGGTCCAATACAGACCAATCCTTTCCTCCTGGGCTTGGATGTCCCTGTCTCATTCCCTCAGCCCTGCCTGGCCACAATCACCCTAACCTCAGCAGGGCAGGCAGGCTGGAGGTGGGGCCCTGGTAACCAGAGGTCTGGGAGGTTGCTGGGATACAGGAAGGAGCTCAGGAGTCCCCCCAGGAGCCACAAAAGAAGCTGGCCCAGGAGGTGTCAGAGTGCCCCCCACCCATGTCTCCCTCCTAGACAGATGGTGTTTATCTAACTTAGGAGGAAGGGGGCCAGCCCACCTGCCTGGGCGCTGGGCTTTGTACTCTATTTGGGTAATGAGGCCAGTTGTACCCTGGCACAGCAGTCCTCCCCTCTGTCCACCTCAAAGCAAACACAGGAGCTTGGAGACCAGAGAGGAGAAGGGGACTCAGTGACCTATGTACCTAAGGGGCTGCAGGAGTCAGCCTGATACCCACCCACTGCTCCCCACCAGGATGAGGAAGAGGCCCAGGGAGAGAGCAGGACTGCAGTTCTCAAATTCTAAGCCTTCGGGCCTCGGCTTCCATGTGAGCAAGGGTTGGAGAGGGTGGGCCAGAGGGGACTTGTATACAATCCACACTTGTGGACCGTGAGGAAGGAGGCACCAGCAGGGGTCTAACACTGAACATCTTGACCTCCTAGGTCAGCTCCCTAGTGGCAGACTTGGCCTTGCCCAGGAGGACCCTGACAGTCAAGCTCCTCATCTGTGTTAGAGCTCTTCCATCTCTTGCATTTGATTGACTGCTGGGGTCAGGGTCGGTGCTGCCTCCCCACTGCCCACCACTGCATCATCCCAGCTGCCTTCCTTGGGGCCGTGGTGACTGTTGTCTTACACACACCCCTGAGAAGGAACACAGCTTCCAGCTCTGCCCAGATTGCCATCCTGGGATTCTGGACTGGACAGACATCAGAAGGACAGTTAAAAGGCAGCAGCTGGCTTCTTGGAAGCCACCTCTGGTGAAGAGGCCCCCTCTCCACCCAGACACACCGTACCCATCCCCTTAGCCTAAGGGGGCCAGCAAGACAGGTGGAGAAAAAGCCACAGGGCCTCAGTGAGTCTCCACCACGTGACCCTGGGCATGTCCCTTTCCCTTCCTGACCCTCAGTTTCCTTCAATAATAAATGGGTCCAAGAACCTTCCCTAGCCAGCTCACAGGACAGATGCTGCTGAGGCTGCTGGGCATTGTAATCAAGACAGAGCTGATAAACAGGTTTAAGCTCTGGCTTTAGTTCTGGTAGGAGTTTAACAAGAAGGTATCACCAGAGAACACAGGGCAACTAGTTCAGGGGAGGGGGACCTGGGAGAGTATTTAATTTATTTTTTTGTAAACCTCATATTTATTTACTGTGGATATATTTCCAGATCATACACATAGACAGCAAAGTAATTATAAGGCATATATAAAACAACAGTGGTGGTAGCATGGGTGGGTGTGAAACCACTGGGGTTTTTTTTGTTTTTTGTTTTTTATTTATTTATTTATTTATTTATCTTTTTAAATTGATATACACTCTTATGAATGTTTCACATGAAAAACATTCTGGTTACTACATTCACCTATATTATCAAATCCCCCCCATACCCCGTTGAAGTCACTGTCCATCAGCGTAGTAAGATGCCACAGTCGTTACTTGTCTTCTCTGTGCTACACTGCCTTCCCAGTGACCCCACACACACCATGTGCACCAATCATAATACCCCTGAGTCCCCTTCTCCCTCTCTCCCTCCCCACCCACCTTCTCCCATCCCTCCCCTTTGGTAACCACTAGTCCCTTCTTGGAGTCTGTGAGTCTGCTGCTGTTTTGTTCCTTCATTTTGCTTCATTGTTATACTCCACAAATGAGTGAAATCATTTGGTATTTGTCTTTCTTTGCCTGGCTTATTTCACTGAGCATAATACCCTCTAGCTCCATCCATGTTGTTGCAAATGGTAGGATTTGTTTCTTTCTTATGGCTGAATAGTATTCCATTGTGCATATGTACCACATCTTCTTTATCCATTCATCTACTGATGGACACTTAGGTTGCTTCTGTATCTTGGCTATTGCAAATAGTGCTGCAATAGACATAGGGGTGCATATGTCTTTTTGAATCTAGGAACTTGTATCCTTTGGGTAAATTCCTAGGAGTGGAATTCCCGGGTCAAATGGTATTTCTATTTTTAGTTTTTTGAGGACCCTCCATATTGCTTTCCACAATGGTTGAACTAATTTACATTCCCACCAACAGTGTAGGATGGTTCCCCTTTCTCCGCATCCTCGCCAGTGTTTGCTTTTCTTGGTTTTTTCTATGCTGGCCATCCTAACTGGTGTGAGGTGATATCTCATTGTGGTTTTAATTTGCATTTCCATGATAATTAGTGATGTGGAGCATCTTTTCATGTGCCTGTTGGCCATCTGAATTTCTTCTTTGAAGAAGTATCTGTTCATATCCTCTGCCCACTTTTTAATAGGGTTATTTGCCTTTTGGGGGTTGAGGCATGTGAGTTTATATATTTTGGATGTTAACTCCTTGTCGGATTTACAAATATATTCTCCCATACTGTAAGATGCCTTTTTGTTCTGCTGATGATGTCCTTTACTGTACAGAAGCTTTTTAGCTTGATGTAGTCTCATTTATTCATTTTTGCTTTTGTTTCCCTTGCCCAAGGAGATACGTTCAGAAAGAAGTTGCTCGTGTTTATATTTAGGAGATGTTTGCCTATGTTGTCTTCTAAGAGTTTTATGGTTTCTAGAGTTACATTCAGGTCTTTGATCCATTTCGAGTTTACTTTTGTGTATGGGGTTAAATAATAACCCAGTTTCATTCTCTTGCATGTAGCTGTCCAGTTTGCCAACACCAGTTGTTGAAGAGGCTGTCATTTCCCCATTGTATGTCCATGGCTCCTTTATCATGTACCACATCTTCTTTAGCCATTCATCTACTGATGGATACTTAGGTTGCTTCCATATCTTTGCTATTGTAAATAGTGCTGCAATAAACATAGGGGTGTACATGTCTTTTTAAATGTGAGATCTTGCTTTCTTTGGGTAAATCTGGGAGATATTTTAAAGATCTGACACTCAGAGTAGGGATTTCAGCCAGGTTAGAGTGAAGGACAGGATCTCGGGGGTCCCTCAAATTGCCCACCATGGTTGAGTGACTAGTGCATGAAAGGGTGTGGACACAGCCCCCGCAGAAGCCCCCTCCAACCTTCCCCTTTCTCCACCACCACCCTGACCCAGTCTCTCCCTCTGACAGTGGCAAGCTGGTCTCCCCCAAGTGGAAGAATTTCAAAGGTCTCAAGCTGCTCTGCCGAGACAAGATCCGCCTCAACAATGCCATCTGGAGGGCCTGGTACATCCAGTGTGAGTGGGTCCCTGGACCGCCCCAGCAGGAGGGCTATATGCAGGGGATTCCCAGGAGACCCCCAGGGTCCTCGGGGCCAGCCCCAGCAGAATGCGTTTAAGGAAACCAGGCCCCCACCACCAGAGCCCCTGAACAGCTTCTAACCCCAGAGAGTCTTGGTAAATGTGTCCAAAGTTCATGCTCTTCACTGTGAACTTGGGCACAGCAGGGGTCACTTCTTGGATGCCCTAAGGTGGGCTGTGATTTGGGGAGGAGTTCAAGGCCCATTCCACATGCCAGTAGTATAGCCACATGCCTCAAATGCCAGAGTAGAAAGAGGCATCAGATACTATCTGGGTTGATGTCATCATGTTACAAATGGGGAGGATCCTGCATGGGTTTCCACCAGCCTTTCATTGAGGTCCCTACTGAACCCCAAATGAGGTGCTCCCCATGGAGATCTGGGAGGAGGGAGCCCAGAGGGGTTGTGTGGTAGAATGGAAGGGACTCCAGATGTGGAGTCACACAGAGCTGCTTTCCCAGCCTATCTCTGCCTCTTGGTGACTGTGTGACTGTAGGCAAGCTGTCTAACCTCTCTAACCCTATTTCCTCATCTATAAAATGAGGCAAATAGTCCTACTTATCATGGTTAGCATGGGGATAACAGTTTGAATGGGCCTGGCACAAAGTTGATGCTTAACAAATGATGGTTGAATCTGATGGACCCTTGAGGAGATCACAGTCATTCACTTGGAGATACAAGACCCACCTGCCCTCTGTGACAGGACAGCAGAGTCCCTCCCAGAGGCCTCAGACTGGTTAGCTCTGTGCTGGGACACTGTTAGGCCCTCAGTTAGATGCTGCTGCAGGATCAAAGGCCATGCTGTGGAGGGACCATATGCAGTATTTTCTGGACTGGCCTCACTGGATTCCATCCAGCAGAGAGAGGGAGTGTTTTCTGGTTTATACTCATCTTTATATTCTCTATAAATTCATCTTATATTTATCCAGCCTAGCACTTTCATAAATCATCTTATTTAAGACTTCCTAGCAACCCTAGGAGATAGGAATTATTACCCCCATCTGATGGATGAGCAAGTGAGGCCCAGAAGGCAAGTGACTTGATCAGGGTCATGGAGCATAAAAGGAGCAGGTCTGTGGCTGGCTGGAAGTCTAGGAGCTGGGGTTTCTGACCAAGTGCTCCTTCTATTGCTCGCAGCTCGCTGGCTTCCACTCCTCACCCGAGAATACACAGCAGAGGCCCTGCCCAAAACACGAAGCTGACAGGCCAGGGGGAGTCAATGTCCGCCCTCCTCCCCACAGTCTGCTGCCTGCAGGTTTCACCCTCTATCCTTACCCCAGAGTCAGACAAAATACAAACCCTTCTCTCTGCGGAAGAAATTTCTGATACCACCAGGGGTCTTCACCCAGATGGAGAGACTCTGGTCTCCAGCTATTGCACAAGTTGCTGGAAGGACCTCTGGTTCTGAGTCAGACAGAGGTTGGTTTGAGTTAAGTTCCAGCCTAGCCTAGCTGTGTGACCTTGGGAAAGTCCCTAGCCATCCCTAGCCTTCCCTAGCCGAATCTTGCTCATCTGTAAAGTGGGAATAATAATAGATCCAGCTGCTGAAGTTTGCTGTGAGTTTTCAGTGAGCTCACCCTAGTGCTCAACACATGTAAGAGCTCCCAATGAGCTGTGGGATTTATTACTATGATTGTGATAATAACAACAGTGCAAGGCAGGCATATAACAAATGTCAGGACTGCTAGAAAGCTGCCTAGCTCATCCTCCTGGCATCTACCACCCCTCTGCTGGCTCCTGGCACCCAAGATCCTTTCCTTTCCCACACCGCCAAATCATCTCAGTCTCCTCTGAGCTCCCACAGCACTGTGCACCTTTCCTGGGCAGACTCTCCACCTTGCATCAGCTCATGTGTGCGCTTTCCTCATCTCTCCCACTAAACGGAGCACCCTGATTCATCTGTGGATTCCCTGTCCCAGCATAGGTGCAAGGGGCTAGGTGGTTCCATAAATGGATGACCATATTACTGCTAGGTAAAGTCTGCCCCAGCTCCAGGAAGTCACATGGTCACTGCCCTTTTATCCAGAGCACAGGATCCCTGAGTCAGGGAGAGGAGAGCCAAGCTAGGCCTGCTCAACTCTGACTCTTTGGGGGTCCTAGACAAACGTACTTTTCCCTGGTGTTCATTTTCTCATTCAGGAAGCCAAGCACAGATACTTTTTGAGACCCTCCTTGCTCTAACCCCCTAGGAGTCCACAACCCAAGGGCCCATCCCTTTGTTTGCTGTCCAAGCCACACTCAGCACCCAGGACAGCCCCTCTCCCCCAATCCCATGGGGATCACGGGGTTTTTTTGGGACAGAACTTCATAAATGATCCTGAAAGTCCCAGTAAATTTCATGTTCAGGTGGTCCCTGTCCTCTGTTGTCAACTGTTTCAGAGGAATTTTGCTGAGGGCAGGCTGGGCCCTCATGGGCACTGCTGAAGTCCTCTTTGTCACTGCATGGGAAAAGTCACTGTGTGGGAAGGTCACTGTGGGGGAGTCCCAGGGTGTCAAAGGCCTGCTGTGTGCCAGGCTCCGTGCCAGGTGCAGGGATTGGGGCTAAACGGGCACAGCTCCTGCTTCCACTCCTTTTACCAGCGGGGCTGCCGGCATGCGGAGGAATGAACCAGGCAGGTGGAGAGTGAGGCAGGTGGGACCGTGGACTTCCCAAACACCTGAGAGGGACGAGCTTTGGAACAGCCTCGTGTTGTTTCCCCAGGCAGCTGGAAAATGGGTTTGATGCTGGAAAGGTGCAGGATAAGGGAGGATGTGCCTCACAAAAGGGCAGTGAGAAGTGGTCCAGGAGGCAGGAGAAGAGAGGGAAGGGGCTTCGGAGCTTAGGGAGGAGGAGGGGCTGTGCAGTGGAGGTCAAGAAGGAGGAAACCGGGGAGGGCCCAGGCCTGCAGCTCAGGAGCTGGATCTGTGGGGCTGGCATGGGGGCAGCTGCTGAGCTACAGGAGACGTAGGAGTGGAGGTGACGAGTGACAACTCCTGCAGAATTTGGGGGAAAAGCAAAGGTATCAAAGCAAAGAAGTTTAACTTGGAGGGGCAGCAAAGGAAGGGAAAAGTATGGGAGGTGAAGGAGAGCCTGGAATGTGTTTAAAGGCCAAAAAGTAGGACCGTGGGGGAGAGATCAGGATTGGAGACAAGGAAGGGAGTGGAGGAGGAAAGAGGGCACCGGTAGGTGGCCTGAAGTGGACAAGTGGTGGTTCTCTGAGAGAAGATCGGGCAGTCAAGGAGCCTGGAGCAGGGTATGGAGGGCTCTGGGCACCTGGCCTGCCAGTCTGACCGTGACCTTCCTGAAGCGGCTCCCTGCCTGTGGCCCTGAAGTCCCATTCAGCCAGCATCACCTGCCCACCTACCAGGCTCCAGAGGGAGGCGGAGCAGGTGGGGGACGTCCTTTCACACTATTGCCCCTGCAGTAGGAGATGAGGGTGCAGGTGGCCACCTCTGACCTGGCCCCCTTATCTCAGATGTAGAGCGGAGGAAGAGCCCCGTGTGTGGCTTCGTGACCCCGCTCCAGGGGCCTGAGGCTGACGAGCACCGGAAACCAGAGGTATGGGCGGCAGGCTGGGGGCTGTGCTGGTCCGTATGGGGACTGGGGAAGGGGCGAGGTCAGTGTTGTCCCTCTCACTGAGCCCCTCCCCGGCGCCCCCCAGGCGGTCGTTCTGGAGGGGAATTACTGGAAGCGGCGCATCGAGGTGGTGATGCGCGAGTACCACAAATGGCGCATCTACTACAAGAAGCGGGTCAGTGGAGTGCCGGGGGAGACCCCAGACCTTACCCCTGGGGCTGCCGGCCACTGCCCGTCGTGGAAGAGCCCTGAAGGAGCTTTTGCCAACCCCAGACCTCTCCCCGCACCACGCACCGCGCCACCTCGCCCTCCATTAGAATCCAGGCTGACAGTGCCACCGTGTGGCCACGGGGTCTCCTGGCAGCCTCCTTACCTTCAGCGGGGAGGAGCTCCAGAGGCAAAAAGCTGGATGGATCCTGTTGATCTGGGGGAGCTGGTGATAGGGGAGGCCTCCGCGGGGAGTGATGGAGGAGGGGCAAGGAAGGAGTTTCACCTCTGTGTGTTTCTGCAGCTCCGTAAGTCCAGCAGGGAAGGGGACCTCTTGGCCCCAAAGCAGGTGGGTGTTCTATAGATCCAGAGAATTGGCAGCTTCCCTCTGGATGGGCAAGGCCATGGCCCAGAATGTGGGTGGGACAGGAGGGGAGTGGCCGTGGCCCTGTTTTCTGGTTGATTAATTGAACCCCTCTCCCTTTGGGAAAGGAAGCCTTGGAGCCAGTGATGGGAAGACCCTAAGCTTTCTAGTTGGCTGAGCCAGTGGTGGGGAGACATGGGGGAACAGAGGGCCCTGCCCTAAGAACTAGAGTCTCAGGAAGGAAAAAGTATTGAGAGGCAGGCAGGGGACCCATATCTCTTCAGCAGGCCATCTGGTCTGTCTCCTGGGTAAAACTGTTAGAGGCCAATGAGATAACCCTAGCCTTCCAGGCAGCAGGCTTGGTCCCCCAGGCAGAGGTGAGGAGGGGTAGTGTGCAGAGAGGCCTTCTGACCGGCTGACCACTTCATCCCCCAACGGGGGCCAGTGTGTAGAAGGGCCAGGGGCAGTGGGAGACCCCTGTGTCCCCAGGCTGAGGAGGAGTGGGGGCAGTGCCGCCGTCCCAAGGCTGCTGACGGCTATCTCCCTAGGTGGAGGAGGGGTGGCAGCCACCAGGACAATGGTGCGAGCAGCTCTTCTCCAGCGTGGTACCCGTGCTGCTGGGGGGCCCAGAGGAGGAGCCAGGCAGGCGGCAGCTTCTGGACCTCAATTGCTTTCTGTCCGACATCTCCGACACTCTCTTCACCATGACTCAGCCCAACTCCTCACCCCTGCAGCTGCCCCCGGAGGATGGTGAGGGCCTGCACCCAGGAAGGGGGCCTGTGAGAATCCAGGCAGCCCAGGGAGGATGGCCTGGGTGAGTAGCCCCCACACAACCCTGCCTGTGCTCCTGACATCACCACTGCTCCCTCCAGCCTACGTGGGCAATGCTGACATGATCCAGCCAGACCTGACGCCTCTGCAGCCCAGCCTGGATGACTTCATGGAGATCTCAGGTGGGACAGGCCCCTCCCACTGGGGGAGGGCAGAGACCTCAGGCTGGTCCCAGGCCCCTTGGGGAGAGCAGAGGCTCTGGGTGATTTCAGAGGGAAACTTCCTGGTCTTCCTTTGACCTGCCTTGGAATGCAGCTCTTGTGGCATCAGGTGAGAGCAGGGCCAGCCTGGGTACCTGGGCAGGGGGCCAGGCTCATCAAAGCTGCAGCCTCCAGGACCTCCCAGGAAAGCAGTAGGTGCTGGGGCTCTCTCAGGGAAAGGAGGAACTTTGATTTGTTTGGGTCTATGTATTATTTAAATAATTCTTTTTACAAACTTACTAAAGGACATTTCAAACATACACAAAGTAAGGAGAGTTCAATAAACCTTCATGTAACAATTACACACTTCAACTCTTGGCCAGTATTATTTCATCTAGACCTCACCCACTTCATCCCTCCTATGTTGTTTTTAAGAAAATCCTAGGAATTATATCTTGTAAAGCATTTTTTTTTTAAGTAGGTTGTTTCCCTGCCTCTCTCTCCTGACCCCTAGGGCCACCAGGGTACTGGTTTTTCATGTACGTCCAGAGAGTCTCATGTCTGTAAAGTCCGCGTGGACACACGTGTCTTTTCACAGCTCTTGCCCACATTGCTCCCTTTGCTTCACTGTGGGTCTTGGAGACAACCCCAGTGTTCATAGGTCTGGGGACTCTGGAGCCATTTGGGGATCACATAGCCATGGAGGCCTAGCTTGTCTCAGCCAAGGCTCAGGGAGCAAAAAGGGGGTTTCTGGTGTGAAGACTTAGTTTTGGCAACCCCTCCATGCCTTCCCCACAGGGTCCTGAGCCTGTCATCAAGAGGTGGGGCAGGGACTAGGGAATGAGGAACCAACCTCTCCCCTACCCCCCCACCCCCGCTGTAGCCCTGGGCAGGGGTGGGGGCTGTGGGGGCAGAAGTTTTGATGGCAGTGTCCTGAGAGCACAGCAGCCTGGGAGGGCAGCTGCCCCATCTGGGCACACAGACCCCGCCAAGGTAGGAGCCTAACTGTCCCCATCCTGGGCTAGGAAGCAACTTCCCTCAGTCTTGAGTGGCTGCTGGGGCGGGGGTGAGCATGGGCAACCTCTGGTAGGGGATGTGGGTCATGCAGAGGAGGATGCTATTGTGGCCCCTCAAGTGCTCCATGCCCAGGGCGGGGGCAGGGAGCAGCAGGGCCTGCACTTTGATTGTCCGCAAGAGCTCTTCACTTGAGAGGAAACCCAGTGAAGAGGCCTGAACTCTATGGAGGTAGGGGGCTTCCTAGGCAAAGGTCTGGGGAGGAGTGTGCAAGGAAGAGGAGGGAGCTGGGGCAGGAGAGGGGCTCAGGAAGGGACTCCGGCTCAGTGCGTGGCTGAGGAAGCAACTTTTCTCAAGGCAGAGTGGGGACAATCAAGGACAAGCTATGGCAAGAGGCTGGTGGTGGCTTGGTGATAAGTTGGGCTTGCTGCTCCATGAACTCACCAAGCAAGCCCCGGGCAGTTGGGCAGCAGCAGTGAGCAGTGAGAGGTTCTGGGACCCTCAGCATCCTAGGGCCAGGCCATAAGGGGCCAAATGATAAGGCTGATGGTCCCTGAGGGCTGGGGAGCAGAGGATCAGTGACTGTTTACCCTCTACCATCGATCCGTCCATTAAAGGGAGACACACAGCAGGGTAGCAAGAAGATTCCTTTAGATCAGGTGGCTGAGGAAAGACACACATACACACGCATTGCCACACAGCCAACATGCCCTAGCACCCCACATCAGGGCAGGTGCACAGACCCAGACAGAGCTATAGTGGTAGGATGGACACACAAGGAGGCAGACAGATGCTGCATGAGACCACACACTGACACATGCAGGGCCAATTGCCCAGTGACACACGGGCCCCGGGGTCACATGAGGTGCACACATAGGTTTGACTTCCATCAGGCTGGGGGTTTGGTGAGGTCTCATCCGTCCCACTCCTAGGTCTCCCTCAAGGTGGACCCTGGAAGAGGGGCCCAACCAGCTCCCTTGGCTGGGCCACCTCGGCCCAGCCACGGCCACTGGGGCCAGGTCTGGCCGGACCAGGAGGCCTTGGGAACTGGTACAGACCAAAAGCTGGTCAGGGTCAGAGAAAGGTGCCCGGAAGGGAGCGGGTAGGCGGGTGGCACCCAGGCCCGGGATGTGGTTAGGCCACAGGCAGCTGCTTCCCAAAAACCAGAATAGACTGGGGCTTACACAACCTGCAGCCCAGACAATCTGGCTGCCCTCTCCCTGGCAGCTGTGCCAGGATTTCCAGCATCCCCCATTCCTGCCTCCACTCTGAGCCTACCTTCTGACCTCTGCTAAGACCCTCTTAGCCCCTTGCCCCACTCCTGGGCTCTGCCCTTGAGGTCCCACTGGTTGGCCTTCCAACAAACCAACTGATCTCTGACCCACTGACCTCCTGAGCCCTCTCACCTCTGATTCACCCCCTGCCCTCCTGTCACCCTGGGGCTTCTCCCCATCCCAGACTTCCTCCCCTAGGAACCCCACCCTTTCGCTCCCCACACTTGCTATTACTGCCCCCCACCCCCGCCCTGCCTCCATGGCCCCAGAAGAGCTGGTAACCGGAGCAGACAGGAGTGCCCAGGGCGGGGATGGGGAAGGCGGCCTCACAAGCCAGGATGAGCTCAGTGGGAGGCTGCTTCCTGGGCCCTGCTCACACCCCCGCAGTCCCCGCCACTGTCTCGAGACCCATCCCACCGGAGCCCCTGTTTTGCTTCCCCTGAATGTGACAGAAACTCAGTTTCACAATCTCCTGTGGGAGCACTCCCTCCCCCAACACCCTCACCCTACCGCCAGGCCAGCCTGGGGACAGGGCACGAGGCCCGCTCTCCTCCCCCTGCCTTCAACCTCTGCCTGAGCCCTAACTGCTGTGCCCTGTGTGTCCACATTGCAGATTTCTTCACCAGCTATCACCCCCCACAGACGCCCACGTCTTCAAACTTCCCAGAGCCCCCCAGCTTTGGCCCCATGGCTGACCCCTTCTTTAGCAGTGGGACCCTGGGCTCGGAGGTGCCCCCTGCCTCTTCAGGCATGACCCATCTCTCAGGGCATGACCACCTGCAGGTGAGCTCACCCCCTCTTGCCCATCCCCGCCCAGCTCAGCTGCCACGTCCAGGGCTCAGGATGCATTCAAGGTACTCCCTGGCTGAGGGGGACTGGTGTGGGGGAGAGACCCATCTCTGCCCCCCGAGAAGGCACAATTCAGTTGGGGAGGAAAAGCCCTTGTGAAGCCAGCTGGATAAGATCGTTGTGGGAGGGAGGCTGAGGGCAGGTGAGCATGGAGCAGGGCACCACTGAGACCTGGGTTGCTTTGGAAGGCTTCTTGGAGAAGGGGGTGTTCTGGGCTTTAGTGACCAGTACAGAAGAAGAAACCAGAAGAGGGCAGGCCAGATGGGAGAAGTGGGACCGAGTGCATGGAGGCAGAAAGCTGGACATGTGTGTTTAGGAAACAGTGGACCTACCATTTTGGTTCAGGAACTCCTAGGTTCAATCCAGATATTGCCTCCCTGCTGCTGGGCAGATGCCTTTTTCCTCCATGATGGGGCTTTTCAGGCACTATTGTAATTCACTGTTGTGAAGTCTGTCTCCTCAACGAGACTAGGTTGGAAGGGCTCTGTTTTGCCTGCTACTGCATCCTCCGTAACTGGCACAGGTCAAACACATTAATAATACTGGGTAAATGGTGGCCCAGTGACTGAGCAGGTGAATGAATGAAGGAATGTATGGGTGGATGAGTGTGTTGGTGACTGGATAGATGGTTTGCAGATGGGGTAGATTTTCCATGGGTTGGTGAGTATATGCATATATATGTGTATAGGCATATATATTATCTCAATTGGTAGGTGAGTGGTTAAGTGGATGGATGGATGGGCTAGTGCATGGATTCATAGATGATAGTTTTATGGATCAATGAATGGGTTGGTGGCTGGATAAATGCCTGGTGAATGTACAGATGGTAGATACATGGGTGGATTATGGATGGGGTGGTGGGTGAATGAAGTATAGATGGTTGGATGGATTACTGAATGGACTCATACGTGGTGGGATAGTGGAGAGATAGATAAATGAGCTAGCCCATAGGTGAGAGTACAAATAGGTAGGTGAATGGAGTATGGATGGATGGATGGGTTAGTGATGGGTTGGTGGATAGATGGATAAGTCATTTAGGAGACTGATACTCTTTGTCATGCCTAATTTGTACATACATGTATCCACTCCTTCCTCTCATTAGGTTATAATTTCCCTTGGTGTGTGTAAGGGACCCCAGGGACCATTTCTCCTGTTTCAGACAGTACCCGGTCCAGAGCTCAGCCAGGGCAGGAGACTGCCTGGGTGGCTGTGAAAGCCAGCTTTTCCCCCTACTCTCTGTTTGTCCCCACAACCAGGCTCGGAGCAGCTGCCCTGGCCCCCTGGATTCCAGTGCCTTCCTGAGCTCTGATTTCCTCCTTCCTGAAGACCCCAAGCCCAAGCTCCCACCCACTGCAGCACCCCCACCCCTCCTCCAATACTCTGCCCCTGCCAAGGGGCCTGGCCTGGAGCCCTGTCTCCCACCCCTCTTCCCTCCCGTGGCTCCTCCCCCTGCTTTGCTGCAGGAAGAGCCTCTCTTCTCTCCCAGATTCTCCTTCCCTACCATCCCTACTGCCCCCGGAGTGTCCCCACTGTCTGCTCCCACAGCCTTCCCACCTACCCCACAGCCAGGCCCAGGCCCTGCCCCTGCCCCTTTCCCAATAGACCTTCTACCCTCAGGATATCTGGAGCCCCCATTTGGGCCTCATGTCACAGTGCCCCAAGGAATGCCGCCCAGAGGCAAGCCCCCCACCCTGTCCCCTAGGGGGCGGAAGCCCAGCCCCCCTGCCTTGGCCCCAGCCACTGCCAGCCCCACTGCCACTGCCGCAGGCAACACCCCCTGCCTCACACAGCTGCTCAGGGCAGGTGAGATGGGGGGGAGCTGGTCAGCAGAGGGGGAGATGGGGACCAAATGCAAAGTGGGGAGCCTGTGGGATCGGAGGGTGAAGGTGAAGGAGCAGGCTCACCTGGAAGGGAAGAGTGTGAGGAATTAGGGACCCAAAAGTGGTCTGGGCTGTGGGAGGGGAGGGGACATGGTGGGGCAGGGCCAGCACCAGCAGCCCTCACCGTCTGCCTGTGCACAGCCAAGCCTGAGCAAGCCCTGGAACGGCCACTCGCATCCAGTGCCCTTCTCCAGCCCCCAGAGTCCCCGGTAAGATGGCAGGCACTGGGAGAGGAGGGTGAGCCCAGGGGCTTCACCCCAACTCTCCTCCCTTCTCCACCCCAGCAGGAGATGGTCCCTGAATTCCCCTGCACCTTCTTACCCCCAACCCCAGCCCCCATATCTCCCTGGCCACCTCCAGGCCCAGCTACTCTGGCCCTTCCCAGGCCCCTGATTGTCCCCAAAGTGGAGCGGCTCTCTCCCCCAGCACCCAGCGGTAAAGAGGGCTTGCAGGGACTGGGGACTCTTGGGGTTGGAGGGAGGGGAAGAAAAAAGGGAGGGGGCGCTATATCTGGAGCCAAGATAAGAGGGATAGGGCAAGGAGAACCTGTATCTGTCTGTTTGTGGGTCTGTCTGTCCCTGCCACAGGTGGTGAGCAGAGGCTTTCTGGGGAGCTCAGTTCCATGCCAGGCCCTGGGACTCTGCGTGTGCATGTCTCTCCCCCTCAACCCATCCTAAGCAGGGGCCGTCAAGACAGCAACAAGGTGGCACCCTCCCTCCTCCCTAAGATCCGCTGGCTACCCCCAGTTCCTCCCACGCTCCTTCCTAGGCTCACCCCGCTCTCTGCCCCCACAAGACTGAGAACCGGCGCATCACACACATCTCTGCAGAGCAGAAGCGGCGCTTCAACATCAAACTGGGATTTGACACCCTGCACGGGCTGGTGAGCACGCTCAGCATCCAGCCCAGCCTCAAGGTGAGCTGCCAGCACAGGCTGGCACCCCCAGAGCCACGGGGTCCCTTCGTGAGCCCCCTCCCCAAGACCAAACCCCAGTGCCTCCATGGGTCCCGGGGTAGGGCCACATCTAGGAGCCCACACTGGAGATACCCACAGGTTAGCAAGGCAAGCACCCTGCAGAAGACGGCCGAGTACATCGCCATGCTGCAGCAAGAGCGTGCAGCCATGCAGGAGGAGGCCCAGCAGCTGCGGGACCAGATAGAGGAGCTCAACGCTGCCATTACGTAGGCAGGGGACCTGCGTGTGCTGGGGCAAGGGGCACATGCCGCCTGACCCCCGGTCCCTGACCTGCCCCATGCCTCCAGCCTGTGCCAGCAGCAGCTGCCTGCTACTGGGGTGCCCATCACACACCAGCGTTTCGACCAGATGCGAGACATGTTTGATGAGTACGTCCGCACCCGGACCCTGCACAACTGGAAGTTCTGGGTAGTATCCTCACTGGTCCAGGGGCAGGGTGACTGCTGCAGCCAGACCAGGCTGTGCCTGACCCAGGACTCGGCTCCACAGGCCATCCAGGGCCTCAGGGCTGCTCCCAGGGGAGGGAGCTCTCATTCTGGCCCCTCCTCCCAGACCCTTGGAAGCTTGGCCAGCAGAACTGCTCAGTGATGAGCTGGGAGCAGAGGCAAACTGAGGGAGGAGCCCCTGGGTGAGGGGACCACAGCCCTGCCCACAGGAAGTCCCAAGGGTAGTTTGGGAGAAGCTGAACAACTCAGTGGTGGGAGTGGGGCAGGCCCTAGAGGAGACAGGGACCCTCTCACTCCCTCACCTGGTCAAGCTTTTAACAGAGCTGGGGAAGGAAGCCCAGGGATGGGGCATATTCTAGCCCAGGATGAGGGCCATGGAGGAGCTGGGAAGGGGGCTGAAAGCCAGAGAGCTGGGTGGGCCTCAGCAGGAGGGGAGGGCAGCTGCCATGGAGGCCTCAGGGTTCTAGGCTCCACAGTGGCCAGGCCCTCCTCCTGGTTTGAGCCAGGTGTCAGGGCTACACGTGAGCTGAGTGAGGGTACCAGCTGAACAACAGTCCTGCTCCTTGACCTGGGCCCAGTTCAGTATCCTCATTCGGCCTCTGTTTGAGTCCTTCAATGGGATGGTGTCCACAACAAGCTTGCAGAGCCTCCGCCAGACCTCACTGGCCTGGCTGGACCAGTATTGCTCCCTGCCTGCTCTCCGGCCAAGTACGTGAGCCATCTGCCTGCCCACTGGAATGTCCAGGCCACAGGACAGAGGGTTCCACTCTGCTGAGACCCCAGCCAGGTCCGGCCTGCCTTCAAAACAGCCTAGGGTTTGGGCCAGCCCATCACGGCCCCGGGATGGTCCTCTGGCTACCAGGACACCTGTAGACAGAGGGCCAGGAAGGGACTGACAGTCTTACCAGCTAGTCCCTCCCCAATCCCCTTGTCTTCAGCACCCAAGGGTAAGGCCTTGACCCCAGAGGTCTCTTCCTCTCTCCTTCTTCCCAGCTGTCCTGAACTCCCTTCGCCAGCTGAGCACTTCTACCAGTATCCTGACGGACCCGGGCCGTATACCCGAGCAAGCTGCACGGGCAGTCACAGAGGGCTCCCCTGGCAAACCTTTATAGGGCTGGACGGACCCTGCTGTTCACCCAGCTGCCCAGGGGCTGCTTTCCCTGGGCAACTTCTAGACAGTCCCCTCCTGCTTGAGGCCCTGGCTGTTCCCTTTCCTGAGGCTCAAGCAGGGCCCAAGTCTCTTCCTACCTCCCCTCAGCCAGGAAGAGCTGAGTTCTGGTCCCTGCTCTACCAGCGACTAATGCTGTGGCCTGGGGGACTCTTACTCCCTCTTTGGGCCTCTGTTTTTCAGCCTGCAAAATGGGGATGGGGAAGCTTAAACCAGAAGAAGATCCCAAGGTCTTAGTGACTATGACACTTGGTGGCCTAAGCTGGCAACTCAGGGAGATGGAAGGAGGAGCGGGATGATCCTGTTTGGCCACTACTCTCACCTGCTCCCCAACAGATAGGGCACAGGCCTCTGTTTTCAAGTGGAGAAGCAGAAAAGGTTTCCTCTCTCTCTCCTTCGGAGAGCCTGGGGAGCTGCAGGATGGCATCCCTGGGTGAGACCAATAAGGTCTGGTCCCAGGAGAGCAGGGCAGGGGTTGGCCAAACCAGGGCAGCCATCTTGTATGTGTGTGTGTGTATGTGTGTGCGTATATTTTATAAAGAATTATTGACCAATAAGAACAACTGCTGGGGACTGTCAGCATGTCTCTCTGTGTGGGTTGGAGAGAGCCATTTGGCAGTGAGAGGTATCCTTGAAAGGACCTTAGCTTTTCCCATAAGCTGGAAGCCACTGGGGGTTTTGAGTAGGAGAGGGACAAGATCAGATGTAACTTTTAAATAGGATCCCTCTGGGTGTTGAGAACACAGTGGGGCAAGGGCAGAGGCAGGGATGCCAGTTTAAGGCTGTTGCTGTCATCCAGGCAAGAGAGGACTGGCACTCATCCTAGAAATCCTCCCTCTGCAGCCAGGAGAAAATTCAGGGAGGCTTGCCACCTTCTAACTAGGAAGAGGGCAGAGCTGGGACCAAGGAGTGGAAGTGACAGGGCCTCCCACTGGGATCACCCAGAAGGAGAAGGTGCTGCAGCAGGGCTGGAGTGACCTCCCCATTCTGTGAGCTATACAGGCAGAGCATCCCTCCTCCGGCTGCTAGGTTGGGATGTCTTAGAAGAAACCGATACTTCAGATGGGCAATTGGGGAAATGGCCTCAATACTTCAGTGATCCATGTAACAAATATTTCCTGAGGGCCTACTGTGTGCCAGGCCATGGGCTCAGCCCGGGGGATTCTGTTCCCTGCTGGAGCCCCCTCCCTGTGGAGCTGACCTTCCAACCTGATGACTCTGACCTCTCACATCTCAGCACTTCCAGAGACATATGCAGGGAGTATCAGCACGAAGTCTTCCTAGGGCTTTTACTTTCCTTCATTCATGTAGAATAACAACTGTAACAACTGTGGTAACTTACCTAGTGTTTACTGCATGCCATGCACCTTTCTAAGCACTTCATGTGTATAACCCACTCAATCCTCACACGGCCTACCTCTACAGGCCAGTTGTCAGGATTTAATGGGAAATATAAAGCACTTAAAACAAATGCCTGGCATGTAACATTGTGTAAGAGTTATCATAATTATCACCTCCATTTTACAGATGAAAAATTGAGGCACAGACAAAGATAATTACCAGGATACCCACCTGGACTGACTCTAGTCTCCACTTTTAGTCACTACTCATCACTGTGCGGGTGACAGGGCCACCCAGGCTTTAAGTGCCATTTGCTGCTGCAGACAGAGGTTTGAAGTGGCTCTTTGAAAGGTAAAAGCCTGGCAGTTTGCGCTCTGCTGTTTTCACCCACTCATACCTGCCGGGAAGGTCCCCATAATACACCCCTTTGACCGTGTGTCCTTTTCTAGATGCCACCTTCTCTTGAGTTGTCTACACTTGCTCTCTCTTCCTCCTGCCCTTCCTCCTTCCTCCCAGCTCCTGCCTTTGGCCTCTTCCTCCCCCTTCCATCCCAGCCTCACCCCTGCACTGCCTCTGCTCTCACTGAGGTCACTTGACTCCCTCTTTGCCAAATCCAGTGACCACTCTGCAGTGCTGTTCTTGCCTCCCCCCTGCCCAACTCCCAGCCCTTGGACCTCCTTCTTGAGCCACCCTGTCCCTGAGAATCCAGAATTCACCCCAGGCTCTCCTTCCCCCTCCCCGACAGTGCCTTCCCAGATTCTGCGGGACCCTCTTCCTCCGCCTGTCCCTTCCTCAGCCCACTTCCCTTCTCACTGGCAAGCCCTGAGTGATGCCCTCCTTTTCAGCCTTTCTGCTGAGGACCCTCTATTCTGTATCCACCCTGCTCTCCCCCTACAGCTACACAACCACACATCTGACTGCCACCCAGACCTGTCCCTCTGAGTGTTCCTTGAAAGGGCCAAAACAGAACCCATAACTTCCAAGACTGTGGCCCACAGTCTTCCCTGTTAAGCCTGTTCCACTCCATGTTCCCCAATCCCAGGAAAGGTGCCCCCATCCAGAGACTTGTGCAAGTTAGGAGCAGTTATCTTTGACTACTCCCCAGGCCCACTGCCCTGTGGTATGTTACCAAGGCCTGACCAGGTGACTTGTAAGCATCGATCCCCACGTCCACTACTATGGTCCAACACAACATCACCCTTTTACATATACTTTTGCATTAGCCTCCTGTATCCCTTACAGCTGCTCCTCAAACTTAAATGTGTGTTTGAATAACTTGGCAGGGAGGCTTCAAAAATCTTCATGACCAAATCCAGTCTAGACCAATCATATCAGAACCCCTGGATGTGGAGTTTAAACATCAGCATTTTTAAAGTAATTCCAGTATGCAGCCAAGGTTAAGAACCACTGTAATAGAAGCTTTGAGCTGCAAATAACATGGTTGGGGCTCAAGCTATTTAAATAAGCACTTCTTAAACTTAAGTGTGCATCAAAATCACTTTGCGGGCTTGTTAAAATACAAATTCCTGGGCGCCTACTTCCAGAGTTTGTGAGTCAGCAGTTCTGAGATGGAGTCTAAGAATTTGCATTCCTAATGATGCTGGTCCAGGGTCCACACTGAGAATGTTGGTCTAGACTGGATTTGGTCATGAAGATTTTTTAAAGCCCCCCCTCCCAAGTTATTCAAACACACATTCAAGTTTGAGGAGCAGCTGTTAAGGGATACACCACTTCAGCAGTGAGGAAATTTCACCTACCATAGAGGCCAGAGGCAGGGAGGGCTCTGATCAATGCAAGGTGGATCTTCAATTGCAAATTGAGGTTGTCTTCCCATTGTTTCTTTGGCTCCTGCTTCCCTCTCATGAGGCCAGGTTTCTGAGCAGATGTTCCAGCTGTTTTATGCCTGGGCTCTACTACCCCTCCAGCCTCATTTCTCTATATACCTTTCTTTCACATTCCAAAGAGTCCTGAACCTCTAGTGGTCCTTTGGATGCATCATTCTGCTTTACCATTGCAAGCCATAATCAGCCCATGAGGGAGGCAGGCCTCAGCTTTTCCATCCTCCTCCCACTGCATCTTTTCCTCAGGATCATTTGCAACACTCCCCCAGACAGGCTGGCAATGTCACTCTCTTCTAAGTAGAAATAAGTTACTTCTACCTGCACACCTTTGCCCATGCCTTGTTTCCCACCCAGAATTCCTTCCTACCCTCCACGTCACCTAAATATCTACCCCTGAAGGTACAGACAAGCCTCACCGTCCCTCAGAATCCACTGGGGAATGTCCCTTCTTGGCCTGCCCAGCTTTCCCGGTCCTGCCTTGTGTCATTTGTTGGCCTTGGCTTCCAACTGGGCTCTACAACACTTGAGGGTAAGAACTAGGCTGTACCCCAGTGGAGAGGCGAGGTGGGAAGTGTGTGGATCTTGGAATATAGCAGACCCCAGGTTGAGTCTGGGTTCGGTCCCTTGTTTCCTTGATCACCTTGGGTTAGGTACTTAATTTGAGCCTAGCTTTTTTCATCTGCTTCAAGTTATTTTATAGCATCTCCTGTCTTAAAGGCCACTCTAAAGATCAGCTGAACTCATGATGTGAGAGAACCTTGTAGCTTCAACTGAGCAGCCCACAGCTGAGCCCTACTCTTGCTTCTCCTTGTCCCCACATCAGTAGATTGGAATTACAGACCTGCATGAGTCCCCAGGCATGCTTTACATGTATGAATAGTGTCACTTAATGAGCACTTCCTAGAGCATCATCAGTCTGCTAATCTGTAGGACAAGAATGTGAGAAGATTAAATGCAGAGCTCCTGGAGCATTAAATGCCACATGCAAAATGTTTTATGAATGAAATTCTTTAAAATATAGCTTTGTCTCTAGGTCACGTGAAGTGGTTCATGGCTGGACCTGCATTTCTAATAGCAAATTAAGGAGGAAAAGCCCCAGAATATTCTAGACACCCCTTCCCAATCCTCCCCACCCTATTGTCCACAGCTGAGTCCATGCCAATCTCCACCTCCCCAGTACAAAAAAGGTAATGAGGTCCCTCCATTTGTTCTCTGATTGGATCTGTGTCCTCATCCGACGTTGCAGGTGTGTCTGTCTTCTAGCCTCTGGAGCAGCCTCTCCAAAGGCTAAAGGGCCTGCCCTGTTGGGAGATGCGCCCTGACCCTGGTATTTTGTCTCCTTCTGGGTTGCGGGGCTGGGCGACCCACAGATCACACCTGTTCTGGAAACATTCCTTCCCCAGTCAAGTGGGTCTAATCCAGATTCTATCAGTTAGACTTTCAGAATATATTTTTTGGTGAAATCTGAATAAACTCTCTAGATTGTACTCATGCCAATTTCCTGGTTTTGATGTTGCACTATAGTTATGTGGGATGTTACCACTGAGGGAAACTGGATGAAGGGTACACAGAACCTTATTGCTTTTTTTCTTTTTCAGTTCCCTGTGAATCTATAATTATTTCAAAATAAAAAAAATGTCTTGATAAAATCTGCTTTTCAAGATCCTTTCCACACCCTTGGGCACTCCTAGGTCCAGGCCCTGTCACCTCCCTCTTGGCTCCTTGCAACCACCTCCTGGTTTTCCTTCTGTTTTTGATCTTGACACACACTGGTCCATCCACAGAACCTGCAAGACACGGGTTGTGCCCTAGCTTGCGCTGTAATAACCAGTGGCAGGTCCTTTCTGCTTATTGGATTGAGCTAGTGCTGAAGGACCTCCAGAACTTTCCAATTATCTGCTGCTTTCTATGTGGTTTATGCCTTGGTTTTCCACAGCACTCCTCCTTCTCAGATTTTTGCTGAAGCTGCTCCACATCCCAGTCCCAGGACTACCCTTTCCGTACTCCATTAACATAAAGCCCATCAAAATTTCCCCTGATGCTGGCTTTCCCGCCTCGCCTCCTTGAAAGGGTCCAGTGTGATGATGGCTGGAACAACTTTTAATAAACGACTATTAGTCAATTATTCAAGGGGAAGTCTGAGCTGAGCCTGTAGATCTGGTCCCCAAACCTTTCCGACAAGCCAGACTAAGGGCCAGGCCAGGCCCCGCCCCTCGAGAGGCTCCAGGGGTCCGGCTCCGCCCCATGGGGCGCTCCAACAACCCTCGGGACGTCCAACGGCCGGTCCAACCCCGCGTGCGTGCGCGGCCCCGCGGAGACGTGCAGACGCCCGTGTCGTCCGAGGCTGAGGTGGCAGCGGCCCTGCGAATATGGAGCTACCGCAGATGCCGGAGTTGATGGGGCTGTCGCTCTTGCTCGGGCTGCTGGCGCTGATGGCGACGGCGGCAGTAGCGCGGGGGTGGCTGCGCGCGGAGGAGGAGACGTGCGGCCGGTCCGCCGGTAAGTGCGGCGGCAGGGTAGGGGCGGCCTGCGGGGCCCTCGTCCCCGGGCTCCCTGTTCCGACCTCTGGTTTGGGGCTGCTAGGGTGCCGAAGACCCCTGGGCCTCAGTTTCTCCTCTTGTGAAATGAGCTTCGCTTCCCGAGACGAGATGTCGCCTCGCCGGGCTGGTCGCGTCCCTTCGGGAGGTCAAGTGAGAACCAGGGTCCCGCACTGCTGCTTTCCTTCTGAGCCCCAGCTTCTCCCCAGGGTTGCTTCGGGAACGCATGTAAACTCTCAAGCGTGCTACACTTGTTCGTTATTTTATGAAAATCGGGGAGATGGACCTTCCATTTGTAAGCATCCCCACTGGTTCCCCAGCATGCAGGAACATATATCCAGTACCTACGACCTCAGCAGGCTCTGGGGTCTTTTCCGTTAGGGAGTCCACTGTCGGGTAAGGGAACAAAACATCTGAAAATGGAAGTGAAAAATAGAGTCTAATAGGTTTCGTAGAAGAGGTCAGTACTAGAAGCAGGAAATCTAGAGGTGGGAATAGTATCAGTCCTGCTTTTTCGGGGAGGGGGTCTGTTCTAGGATACCTGCACTGAGTAGGGAATACATGAGATGGGGTCTTAAAGCATAGGTATGTAAGAATTTGGCTGGGGGCCAGGGAGGGAAGAAGAACGTTTTTGGCAGTGTCAGCGTACAGGAAGGACGGGGTCCTGAAACAAAATTTGGTGTGACTCCGCTGTCAGGGGAGTGGGCGGGCCTGTGAGACAGGTAGGGGAGGTAAGCAGAGGGCAGATTGTGGCCATCTTTGTATGTGGCCCTCAGGAGTGTTTTCCTGTAGGAATTGGGGTGCATCTGCAGTGATCTAACATTAGCCGACTTTGTGCCTGGCCTGATTCTCAATTAAATTAGCTATCTTATGCAAGTGACTGGCAGCATTCCCAGCACAGGGTAGGTGCACAACATATGTTGCCTGCTTCTCAACCCTGAGTTCTCAGGGAGTCCTTTGAGCGTTTAATGCTTGTGTTGGGTACTCTGCTTGTCATTTTGTATACATTATCCAGTTCTCACAACTTGTCTTCAAGGAAACCAAAGTCCAGATAAATTGTGTAACTTACCCAAGGCCAGGGCTGCCAGATTTGGTTGTGTACATTATTCCCTATGGAGGGATGTCTGGCCAAGGACCCACACTCCACTGGTGGTGCTATGTAACCACTGAGCTGTGCCATCCCAGAGAGGGTGCTTTTTCTATTTTGCATCAAGGTCTTACATGGACTAACAGCCAGCAGCCTCCTAGAGATCACCCAGTGGTAAAGAAAATCCAAACCCAGGTCTGATGCTAAAGCCTCTGTTTTTGCCCACGTAACTTGCTCTTCTCGAGGACAGGGACTGAATCTGGCCATCTTTTTTATGCTCCACTAAATGCCTGGCCCATTGAGGTGGTCAGAAAATGCTTGCTGAGTGAATGAATGGATGGATGACATGGCTCTTCCTTATAGGCCAAAAAGCAAATGGATTTCCACTTGACAAGTCCTTGAAATCCAAGAAGCAGAAACAGAATCAGCGGATTCGCAAGGAGAAGCCTCAGAAACACAACTTCACTCATCGCCTCCTGGCAGCAGCACTGAAGGTACGCGTACCCTTGCACAACACACTTCTACAAAAACACAGCCCTGTAGACTCTGCCTTTGCAGGATTCTGTGCGTGTTACAAATCCCTCTGCCTCTGACCAAAATCAGTAGGGATGCTCCATTCTCTCTCTCCTCATCCCATGTTAATCCAGGCAACAGGGCCCTGGAGTCTGGCTGCAGATTGGGCTGCCCCATCTGTTCAAGGGGTCCCTGTTCACACTCCTGCAACCCTTCCTCCAGAGCCACAGTGGGAACATATCTTGCATGGACTTTAGCAGCAATGGCAAGTACCTAGCTACCTGTGCAGATGATCGCACTGTCCGCATCTGGAGCACCAAGGATTTCCTGCAGCGGGAGCACCGCAGCATGAGAGCCAATGTGGAGTTGGACCATGCCACCCTGGTGCGCTTCAGCCCTGACTGCAGGTGGGCCAGGGTGGAGACTCAGGTTTGCCTGCAGAAGCCCAGCCCCAGACTTAGGTCACTCCCATACTTGGTTTGGGATGGTGAGGGGGCACCCAGGGTCTCCCTTGGGGTGGCAAGGAGCATCCTGACAATTTGAGCACTCCCTGGGGCTCCCTGGAGAGCTTTACAGCAGCTACACAGTGAGGAAACAGAGAGGTAACGGTCTTTACTACTTGGGAGGTACAAAGCCTGGCTTCCAGATTAGCCTTGGAGTTATAGAAAACTAGTTTTAGAGAAACCAGTCCTAGAGAAACTAAAAGAGCCAAAACTATGACAGTCCTATCTTCCAAGGAGTTTTTAAGAGATTTGAACCAAGGGGTGAAGTTGTAGGGCTGAACTGTAGGGCATGAAAGGAGATCTTGATTTTCCCCAGAGCCTAGCATGGGACCTGGCCCATGTAGGCCTCCATGTCAAAGTCAGTGAGTGACTTATTTGCTGTCTCTAGAGCCTTCATCATCTGGCTGGCCAATGGAGACACCCTCCGGGTCTTCAAGATGGCCAAGAAAGAGGATGGGGGCTATACCTTTACGGCCATCCCAGAGGATTTTCCTAAAAAGCACAAGGCACCCATCATCAACATCGGCATTGCCGACACAGGTAAGAGGCATTCAGAGGGTGGAGCTTGCCCAAGGCCATGGGGATGCCCCAGTTACGTTTGCTGAATGAGTTAATACTGCCTGAGAGTTAGGCTCAGTGCCAGCTTGACAAACAGACTCTGCCTCTGGGCTCCCCTGGAGTCCTTGGAGCCACACCAGGTCCCCAGAGGAGGTAGATAAAAGCCACAGTCTTTAGCAAAGTCTTATCTGTGGTGACCCCTGGCCCAGGAGGGGAGCGTGGATACTTGGGGCAGCAGAAGCCTTAAAAATGTCTCCTAGGAGGATGACAGTTGGTCAGGTCATTGACCTTAGCTCATGTCACTCCTCAGGAAAGTTCATCATGACCGCTTCCAGTGACACAACTATCCTCATCTGGAATCTGAAAGGTCAGGTGCTGTCTACCATCAACACCAACCAGATGAACAATACACATGCTGCTATATCCCCTTGTAGCAGGTGAGGAAGGAGGGGCTTTGGCATATCATCTGGGATGGGCAGAAGTTGGGGCTGGAAGCCAGGGACAAAGCAGAGAGCCGGCTTCAAATAATGGAACCCATATGGTGTGGAATCAGGATGTCTAGATTCAAGCCCTTAGTCTCTATTCATCTCTAGTTTTTAAAAGGTTGGGGTGGGGGTACTATGTAACCTATAACATGGCTCTGTGGATGAACTGATGTCATGTTATCAAAGAAGTTTTAAAAGATACAGTGTTATTTAGCTAGGATTATTAACTTTCTCAGAAAGGAGGGTCAGTAGGTTTGCAGAAACAAGATGCCCTTAAAATTAAGTTTTAAAGGAACCTGGATTATATGGCAGGTTTGTGGCCTCGTGTGGTTTCACCCCAGATGTAAAAGTTTGGGAAGTCTGCTTTGGGAAAAAAGGGGATTTCCAGGAAGTTGTGCGAGCCTTTGAACTGAAGGGCCACTCGGCAGCTGTCCACTTCTTTGCTTTCTCCAATGACTCTCGGAGGTGAGTGAATCCTTTCAGATCTCTCACCAGTCGCGCTCTGCCCCTCTTGGCAACCAGGGTCCTTGTGCCTATCCCTGTAGCAGCTCCGAAGTGGGTGGGGTGCCGGCCCTCAGCAGGAGGTAGACATGGAGGGGGAGTTGGCTTCCCAACTGGATCCCCTGAGGCTGTCCCAGGACCCTCCCCCACAAGGTGTGTTGGGGCTAGAGCCTTGATTTCCTGTGCTGCAGGATGGCTTCTGTCTCCAAGGATGGTACATGGAAACTGTGGGACACCAATGTGGAATACAAGCAGCAACAGGACCCCTACTTGCTGAGGACAGGCTGCTTTCAAGGGGCGAGCACCATGCCGTGCCGCCTGGCACTCTCCCCTGATGCCCAGGTGTTGGCCTTGGCCAGTGGCAGCAGTATTCATCTCTACAATACACGGCGGGGTGAGGAGGAGGAGTGCTTCGAGCAGGTCCATGGGGAGTGTATCACTGACTTGTCCTTTGACATTACGGGCCGGCTTCTGGCCTCATGTGGGGACCGGGCAGTGCGGCTTTTCCACAACACCCCTGGCCACCGGGCAGTGGTGGAGGAAATGCAGGGCCTCCTGAAGCGGGCCTCCAATGAGAGCACCCGCCAGAGGCTGCAGCAGCAGCTGAGCCAAGCGCGGGAGGCCCTGAAGAGCCTGGGTGCCTTGAAGAAATGACTCTGGGAGGGTGTGGCTGGAAGGAGCTGGCCTGCTCCACCTTCCTTCCCAGGTGCTCCCCGCGGGAACCGTTTTGGAAAGGCTATCCTCCTGTTCTTAATGGTGGCCCATCTCTCCCTTTCCCCATTGAAATTATTCTTGTGTACTTAGATTTCTGTCTTGCTCACTGGTTGTGACTCCTGGCCTTACTTGACCTCCCAGGCTAATGACCAAAGGTGCTTCTCTTGTTCCTGGGCTCACAGGGTAGTTAGGGTCTGTCTTCACCAGTCACTGAGGAGAGTGGTGAAGAGATAAAACGCCCCTGACCTTGTGGCAGTGCACCCTGGTACCCAGAGCAGTCTGTAACTGTGGAGACAGAGCCTGGGGTACCCCTGAGTGTTAGGCAGGGGTGGGAGATGGGGATATCTTTCAGTGACACAGCTGGTATGCTGTCTGGGACAGCTGGTCCAAGCCCAGGCAAAGTGCCTAACTCCTCCGAAAGGTCATTAAGGCATTTCATTCGGTGCCTCAGTTTTTTCATTTGTAAGATGGAGAATAATCCTCTCTTGACCTTACAAGGATGTTGTGAGGACATGAGAGTATAAAGTCTCTAGATTCAAAGAAAAGAGGAAAAGAGTAATGATAGATGTCATCTGTTTTCCAGTATCATTTATTAACTACTGGGGAAAAGTGGGACTCGGTGTAATTTGAAACTGAACTAAAAAACAAACACATCCCTTCACCTTGGGAAGAGAAGTTCCTGGGACTTGATTATACATTTCGTATCTGGTTCTGCTCTCAGTTGTAGGGAGGAATCATAGATTCCCAAGATGGGGCTCCTTTCCTTCAGGAGATTGTAGCCTGTCTGAGGAGTCCTCTTCGGAGTTCACCGAACATTTGAGTGCCTGCTTTGTGCCCAGCACTGCACTAGGCACTGGAGGTAAATATGAATAAGACATGAACCCTGCCATCAAAAATGGCTAGGGGGAGAGAGGTACACATGTCTCTTAGATGCTTTTTGTTAATTTTTTCGTAGCTGTACAAGGCTGTTGTAAAAGTCAAAGACAAGAGGGAGGTTGAAGCAGGACAGAGGCAGTGGAGTTGAAGTTGAAGGGGTAAAGTTGGTAAGAGATGGAGTATACAGAAGTTCAAGTTTTTGGGCTTGAGGACTGCTTGGTTGTGAGAGGTAAAGAAAATGAGGAATCTAGGAAGACTTGAGTCTTGGTCAGATGTATTCAACCGAAATCAAATTCTTGTTTTCCCTAAAACTAGTACCTCCTGTGTCACCCCTAGTGATTATAATTGTTGGAACAAGCCACACCCTCAGAACTATCCTGAATTCGTCCCTTCTTCTCACAACCACTACTACCATCCACTCCATCAGAAAGTTCTTCAGGTTACACGCCAGATACATCCCGAATCTGCCATTCTCTCCACCTTCTCTGTTACCATCCTGGTCCTAGCCAGTCACCTACTGGACTGTAATACAGCTTTCCCCACTGGTCTCCCTGCTCCTCTCGCCTCATTAAATCACTTTTCTACATGGCAGAATGATCTCTGAAAATGTAAACCAGATCACATTGTTCCCAAATGAAAACTCTCCAAAGGCTCCCCATCACACCTGGTAAAATCCAGTTTTTCCTGTGGCCTACAAGGTCCTATGTAATCTGGCTTCTTCCTTCTTCTACGGCCTTGTTACCATTATCCCAGCTATCCCAAACTTGCTCTTCCAAATTTGACCACGCCAAGTTATTTCCAGCCTCTAGGGACACCTGTGCCTATGCTGTTCCTTCTGCTTGGAAGAACTTTTTTCTGTTGGCAGACATGCCATAACACAACTCTCAGTTTCCATTACACCTCAAGAGACCCTCTCTGATCACCCAATCTGAAGTAGCCCTTTCCAGCAATTGTTATCACACCTGTTACATTGGGTTATTTTATTTATTTACTTTTGTGTTACTTAATGCTCTCTGAAATTATCTTGTTTGGATATTTATTTGCTTCAGGGATTGCAGTGTAAATACTTATGGACATCAAGTGGGTAACATAAATGTGTGAGTTGGGCCTCAGTTGTCTGGGTAAGATGGTAGGACACAGCTGGGGTGAAGTGCTGTCCAGAGAGCATGTGTCCTGGGTTAGGGGTGAGGGGGGCTGCTGCCTACTCAGGAATTCAGCAGGAGTTGTCTGTTTCAGAGAAGCTAGAAGTTGGCAATTTATTATAAAAAGAAAAAATTCAACACTGAACTAAGCAAGATGCGGGTGTGAGTCAGACGCAGCCCACCAACCTCTCTGGCAGTTTCTGGATTGTTCATTAACCTGCTGGAGTGTGACCTCTAGAGGGTAGAATCCTTGTCTGCCTTGTCACAAGCACAGTACCTGGGACAAAGTACTCAATAAATGTTGAACTTAAATCAGAGACGGTTAACAGAAATGTCAGTACCTTCTGCGTACATCCTCCCACTCCCAGCCTCCACTGTAGTTTTATGTTCCTAATACCAGACTTTTGATTCCTAATTTCAGATAGCATTAAGTAACATAAAGTAAATTCACATGGTCCTGGTGAATATTGCTTTCTGATTGTCAGATCAATGAAACTAAAACACTTCTTTGCATATCTCCTTGGCTCTGGCTTTATACTCATTGCATCTAGGACAGGAAGTAAACGTAGAGCATTGAGTTATTGAAGTCAGAAGTCTTTGGTTTCAGTTTCAGTTGGGTCACTTGGGACCTTAAGCAGATCACTTTACTTCTCTGAGCCTGTTTTCTCATCTGTAAAATGGGAATAAATCCTATCATGTGTGCCTTGAGTGAAAGCACTACAAAAAAGTCATTACAGAGACTTCGTAAGGACAGAGCCCCTCTCACTAACAATGAGGCTGCTTTTCTCCTACATGTGGAGAAGATATCTGGATTTTAACATACAGCAGAGGCCACCTTGTTTTTTTGTTTTTTGTTTGATCAAAAATCCTCATTGAGAAGGCAGCTTAAATATTTTGATATTACTATTTCAACTTCTGTGCATTTGAAAATTTCCAAAATAAAACGTTGGGGCAGTATTAAAAATGGTGGTATATAGCCTATTTTTATCAGTCATCAAAAATGGAAAAAAATATTTAAACCACAAAAGTACACATTTAAAGGTCCCTGGATTCTCTTGGTCATTTTCCATCAAGGGACTATGAATACAAATATTTTAAATTGTTCTATAATTGGAGATGATAAAGAGGTAAGTAGGAAGCACAGACTATTGTGATGAGGTACGCCTGAGGGTAGGTTTGCTTCAGATAGCGTTAGACCCAGCGTTGCCTCACATGGGCCACATACCAAGAAACTCAAGGATTTGGGGTATTTCGTGTACTTATTTGCATAATTCCAAAACTGTGAGTCTTCCTGGTGAGTGTGGCTTGGTCTCAGCACACAGCTCTTCAGGCTGAGGCCCACTGATGTGCACGGGGTGGCATTGCAGAATCAGCCACAGCAGCTGAAAGCGTGGTTCATTCAAGCTTGTGAATGTCTTCTGAAATTGACTGCATTTCCCAGTTTTCATTTCTTCAGGCTTCCATCCCTGATTCCAGAGTTCAGAGCAGTTGAAAAATGAGTGTGGTTTCCACTTGCTTTCTATTCAGTGCCCATTATTATTATCAGTGGCCAACATTGAGAGCTAAGCATTTAATCCCTACCAACTCACTACTGTTTTTGCTTCAGCCATTCTACCAGTAACCACATCTTAGTTTTTATTTGGTGAAGTACCACTTCCCCAACTCTTTAACCCATATAATTTATAGGGGAGAGACCCAGACCCATAGATGGTATATAACCAATCAGCAGATCCCTGAACTTAGCAGAATGTTAGAAAGTGAAAATACCTTTAATATTCTGCTGGGACTGCTTAGTAAGTAGGAGATAAGCTTGTTAGTCTGTGGAGTCCTGCCCAAGAATGAAGGTGACACAGGAGAGCAGGGCCAAAGAAGTAGAGACCACACGTTAAGGATGCTGTTTAGATCCAGATCCTGAAACGCCTGAGGTTTCCACCACTGGAATTGTCACTTAAGAGCCAATAAATTCCCATTTATGATGAAGTCAGTTTGGGTTGGGGTACTCTTGCAACCAAAAAAGCCTTAATATCAGTATTACTAGAAAGACTCAAATTGCCTGAGGCACAGACCCCGTAAATGGCACACCCAGAAGTGTAAGTGTAGGTGTCTCTGGTACTGAAGTACACCTTTACCACCAGGCCCATCCCCAACATTTATAAAGCCAGGGGCAAGAATACAAATGGAGGCCCACATACCCTGTCTTAATATCTAAAACTTACAAATCAAGCTGAGCTCAAATATGTTCCATCCTCCTATGTTGATAGAACATCCTGGAAGGCCAAGCTTAAATTTAGAATTCAGGCTCAGATCTCTGCCCTACTCTGTTAACACAGCCATTCCATGGTCAAGGACTAATCCCCTTTCTTTCCCACCTGGATCTTCCCCACATTGCAAGGGATACCCCAGCCTCACCTCCATATGCCACCATAGCTCAACAAATCACAGCCCCTTGGCCACCCACCACTCAGGCCTCAGGGTGCACCCCGTAGCTGCACTGCCTTTGTGGAAACAAACCCAGTGGGGAATGGGGGCTCCTTACAATCCCTGGAAGCAGCTTTGGGTCTGTTGGGACAGGAATTCCAGGGTCTTGTGTACCTTGAGTGTGGTTTGGTGGGTGAGGTGGGAAAACAAGCTCTGGGTGGCATTTCCCTGGTCCTGCAAACTCCGTGCCTCATAGGGAGGGGCATGGCATGAGGAAGGCCAGGACAGACCCCCAGAAGGAGGCCCCTTGCCCACATCTAATGCTGTTAACCTCTGCATTAACCATTCTTCACTTCTTTCCATGCGGTTTCAAGGTCTCTATTCTAAGCTCTCAGCATATCAGAAAGTAAACAGTGAATATTGTTGAGTTCCTCAGGGTTCAGCCAGCTATGTCTCAGAGAGTTTTTCTGAAAATTCCAGATATGTGGAAGCAGCCTTGTATATTTTCTTGCATGGTATCTGTGAGCTGGTTACTGGCTCTCCTTCCTCACCTATAAGTTCTTCCAAGTATCCCCTAGACTAGCTTGCAGCCAGGGTACCAGTATGGAAACCATTCACAGCTTGGTCATTCTGCCGCCACATCCCGGGATCCATCTGACAGGTTAGGAAGGGAGCCGTGGGCGCTGAGCACACCAGCTTTCTCTCCCAAACTGCTTGGTACCAGAAGTCCCACAGTTCTTGTCCCTGGTCACATGGGCCACCACCTCAGCTCCCTTAGGAGTCCCTCTTTGGAAAATGCCTTTCCCCGTTATCTCAGACTGACTAAATGGTTCCTCAGTGCTTTCACAAGCCTTCACATTTCTTGTCTCTATGCTGCATTGTATTGCCATTTATCTCTGCTGCGGTTCCCCGGAGGGCAGGTGACATCTGATTAATTTGTATACCCTCAACAGCCTGCCAAAGGGCTGATGTGCTGAATAAGCAAACTTCCACCTCCCTAGAGCCTTCCCCAATTGCTCTGGGTCTCACATCCCCAAGGGCCCACTTGGGTGCTCATTCTGGACACTTCCCTTCTGATGTGGCTATTTCCAAACCCTAGCCCAAGAATACTGTGGCCTATAACCAGCATGTGACTCTAGTCATGTCCTTTAAACTCCCAGAACCTGGAACTGCTTTAAGATGAGGGTCTGGAACAGACTTGACTTTGAGGTTCTTAAATCACACAGCACATGGGGAGATTAAGATGGCATTCTCATCCTAACAGTGGCTGTCACATCCCAGGGACCTGCCTACCTTCTCCTAGCCTCAGCCCCTCATTTTGACTACTTTCCTAGGGACAGTTCCCACTGCCTGCACACAGCTCTTCAGGAGCATAATGGAAACCAGCTCCTTCACTTGCTCATCTTCCTGTGATACTTGAAGCCCTGGGTAGCATCTAGTGTATGGGCATGTTTTCATAATTAGAGCTACTCCAGTAAAGTCATGTTTCAGAGAATATCTTGGGAAAAGATGCATAAAATTTTGTTTCTGTGTTGTCTGTTTTCCATGATGAACATGAACTTCTTTTATAAAAAGATCATCACATGATATATTGGAAGTATTAATAATAACCTCTCATTATATACATTTTTCTCACTTCATAGCAGTTCTTGAATAGCAATTATCCCCATATTGCAGATGGAAAAAATGAGGCTTGTTGAGGTTAGAGTTCAACCTGGGACAGTATAGAGTTCAGGCTCATTCTTGGAGTTACCACCCACTGCCTCTGCCTTGCCATCCAGAGTAAGTTCCTTGAGGACTTTATAGTCTTATGAGTCTGTCTAGCACTGTTGGTGGAGTGTTCTGTATTTTCCTCCGTTCTTGTCCCTGCCACAACAAAGAATTGAAGGGCAGAGACACAGTAGCGAAGCAGAGTAAAAATTTTATTTAAAGTTACTTAGAAAAAGTACAGGCCACCTCAGCAAAGAGAGGTGCCCTGAAAGGTTGGAGAGAGAAAGTCTAAGATTAAAAGGTTACACACTTAGAAAGTATGGGCGACCTCAGAGAGAGGAGCACCCTGTAAGGTTGGGGGTTCCCTCTTTTAAGGATTCTTTAGGAATGTGACTTAGGGCTGGGGGTGCGGACTTGTTAAGTGGTCGCTGAATATTTAGAATTAACACAAGGAACTTCCTGCCTTTTACTGCTGTTTAAGGCTGAGCCTGCATGATTAACACCATAAAAACATGGGCTATGCTGAGGTACCCTCCTTTATCTGGAGAATATTCAAATATTCCAGGCCAGGTTGCTTCTGGCTTTTTGAGCTTTATCTGATTAACTCTGGGTCTTTTTAGTGGACTTCCTGGCCTTTTTCTCTTTCTACCCTGCTCATATCTATTTTCCTGTGTAACAGCACCACTTTCTATCCTAGTGCAGTAATGCAAATAAGCACACAGTAGGCACTTCACTATTGTTGGTTAACATGAACACATACACATACTGCCCAACAGTTAGTGAGCTCACCATGGCTACCACTTAACCCTCCATCATTGCAATTGTGCTGTCCATAGAAATTGTTCTGTTACTTTGTGGGGTCACTACATCTTTTGGGTTCACACATTGGACCATGATTCTCTCAGGGACTAATGGCTCCTGAGCAAGATCATTAAGATCCCAGAACTGGGAGTTCAAACCCTGGGGTTTGGAGGCTACAACCACCCTGAGCTCCTGGGACTTCAGCTCACCTCCATCACAACCAGACAATTTGAACTCTCTGCATAGGCAAGAAAAGGCAACAGCTACAAAGAAGCCTTCATGCACGTGCAGTAGGGGTGGGGTTCAAGTGTCTGCAGTCTGCCAGGCCCCTCAGACCTGCTTGCTCCCTGGGTCTCTCCAAGACTTTCTGGGACACCTAGAACCCAGA